GCCCCCACCTTCCTTCTCTGCGGTGCTTATTTCCTGCTTGCCACCACTCTGATTTCCCCCCAAAGCCTGAATTTTCCTCACTCTTAATTGCATTCACCTTAGTCCACAAACACTGTTTGGCTTTCTCTCTCAAAACAACAACAACAAAACCCAGGATAGTTTTCCATTCATACTACATTCAGGTAAAGTCAAAGCTCATTTCTGTCTTGATAATTTTGAGTCACATATATCAAAGCCTGTGGTTCTCTAATACCCGTGACAATTGCTTCCTGGTAATCCATGTCACTGAGAAGTATAAATTAACATTACAGAAATAGTAACGATCCCAGCAATAATATGTACCTATTGAAGTCACCAAAAACCAGTGAGTAGGGGGTAAGAAACCATGAGAACTGATCGGAAGCATGTGCTTGGTGTTCGGTGAACATCTTTGTGCACTAAGCAAATGGCTTGAGGTGATGAAACCAAGACCCCCCCATCATCTCTAAATAGTGACCTACCTTTTCACTTAACCTTCTTAATTCAAGAGGTGTTCACTTAAAAAACAATGATTTGTGAGCTGCTCCAACACAATGCATGAGCCTTTCCAGCACTTTCCAAGCATCGTCAAGTTAGCAAGAGCATCATCTCGATCTTCAAATATAAATCAAGATAAGGAGTGAAACCAAAAGGTCACACTTAATTTTGAAAGATTTCTCTTGCAAGGAGAAGGTAGCAACAGAAAGGAAAAGGCTAAATGAGGAGGATGGTGATTTTTTTCATCCTCCTGCAGGGAGTTTGAATTATTCTGGGGAGGCAGGATGTTCGAATCCTCGGGGTTGAACTTAACTCCATACCCTTCTCTGGGAGAACTGCATCATTGGAGTTACCACCAAGTGAAACTGAACTTTTTCATTAGCAGACCTGCTACTGCTTGGACAAAGCACATCAGGGCCTGCTGGTGCTCTTAGAATCTTTCCACATTAAACGATTTCATTTCAAGCCATTTGCTTTGGATTACAGATGGTAGAAGGGCAGCAATTGAAAAACAACAAAAGTCTGAAATGACCACCACAGGCAATGGGGGCAATTGCAAAGAAAAGAATCACAAACCAAAGCAGTAACTTACTGTAGCTACTTTCGCTATCGCTGGCATTAGAAGAAACATGTTCTGCAAGAACAGCACAGCAAATTAAAGAGATCCCAAGCATTGGCAGGCAGCCAGAACTTAAAGGAATACACTCATGCAAGGCTACCGGAAATGTAAGCAAAAGGCAAGTGAGAGGCCACAGAGCAGACTGCCATAAGAAAATTCATAGATTAGGTAAAGAAGATGAAAACTTTATCTGTATTTTATGCTCGCACTTTCTTCTTAGCAAATAAGGAAAATATCTTTATAACAACAAAGGATTTTAGATGGACATCATACTTAGTTGTAATAAGTAGTTTGATTTATTTATTTAGCCCTGACTTTACAGGTGCATGTAACAAAGGCTGGTGTAGCTTGACTTGTCAATTCTTGACTCTAGTTCAAGTTTACCTTCTGGTCTGTAGGCACTGTTTTATGGTAGGCTCCTTTGTTTCTCTGTTAGCTGTTAGGCACTTTGCAGGAACATTCCATTCCCAATCCTCAGGAATCCCTAGAATTTTATTTCTGTGTAAAGCGTTCTCAAACTAATTCTCAGAATGTTGGAAACCTGTCCTGTGTCAGTCGAGCAGAAATGAGTCACCGGAACAGTTTTAGGAATGAGGTCAATATTTCTCTTTATTTTAAGATCTTCTATAGCTGCTGAGCTTTGGAGGAATGGAACAAGCAAGAGATAAATGGCCTGATACTAAGCATCGATCCTTATGCAAAATATGATTTTGCTTTTAAGCATGACTTTTTACAAATAAGTATGGCTTAATTGCACGGTGAGATTTAAAATCGGCTTTTCTTTTTTCTTTTTAATCATTTTATTGGGGGCTCATACAACTCTTAACAAAATCTATATATACATCAATTGTATAAAGCAAATTTGTACCCTCATCATTCTCAAAACATTTGCTCTCCACGTAAGCCCCTGGCCAAATTGGCTTTTCATCAAAAAAACAGGTTAGGATACACCAGGTTAAACACCAGGTTTGGGGTGTGGTGGTGGTTTCTCTCAACATTTCTTTTCATCTGTACTGTATATTAATTTATAGAAGTTCAACCTGTTTATCAAATCTTTGAATCTAAAATCAATAATTACAGAACAGGTGACATTGATTTCTGAAGCTTAATAGCAGTAATGTCAATCCTTTAAAACTGACAAATCTACATTTTTAGACAGAAAAATGTATATAACACTAGTCTCTAACTGCTTAAAAAAATAAGTGCCTTCTAGTGGATTTGATAGTGTAGATTCTTACCAAGTGGATCAGTTAGTTTGATAGTACGGCGCTAAAGAGAACCAAAGCATGTGTTAAATCCACAAGGGTCAGTGATGTTCTGTAACCAGAATGGCATCACTAGTTCAGGCAAACATTCTATAGCTGGCAAGGGGCACTAGGGGAAGAAGTGGGATGGATCATTGTAGACGTGCTTTCTACTGCCTGAAGGGTCAATAGTGGACCTTTCTGTTGAAAGGGAACATATCATCTGAAACCCCTTGATTTGAAGCTGGTAGTGTTTACTTTTTAAAAACAATTTAGAATGATGCTATACTATTTAGGGCGACATTTAGAAGCATGCAAGACCTCATTTAATAATGAAATCTTTTAAAATAATCTAGCGAGCAAGATGATTTTTCTATTTGCTAGTTAGAGAGACATTGAACGAGTGTTCTAGCTGATGTCCAAATTGTGGCTCACCACAGCCACAACTGGCAAGTAACTTGCTCTAGCAAAACCTGTTCCATTTGTAAAGAGTAAATGCTTGCAACGCTCTTGATTTAAAAGGACATTGCTTATTTGTGATGTCCATTTCTTAACGATTTATGAGAGAGCTTCCTTTCCCCACCTCCATATTGAATTTTTACAAACTCTTTCGGTCCTTGATGTTATTCAGCTAAAGTCTGAATCAGCATTTGAACTTTAGCTGTCCATTATAGAAAACTTTAATGACATATAGTACATGTAAAAAACCCCTCAAAAGATAAAGTTTTCATCTTTAGGATCAGTAGTTATTCTTGATTAGATTTTGTTCTTCCTATTATGTTAAAAAAAAGATGCTTAACGAACAATTAGAAGGTGAAGATCATTACACAGCTCTTGCAAATAAAGTCAAGCTCCGTGCTATTTTGTTTTACACAAATGAAATGGACAGCTTCTAAAAATATTCCCCATAGCTGTTAAATTAAAATACAGACACAAAACAGAAAAATCAATGCACATGTGATATAGCCGCAAAAGACAAAACTGTGTTCTTATTTCATTGGTGTTTAACACAATGGAGTTAGTATTAAAGGAAGAAAAATCCTAGTGCATTCGTAAATGATATGTTATTTTGTAACGGCTCAATGCAGTCAGGCATACACTACGGGCATTAATGACTGGAGATTTTTAAAGGTTCACTATATTTTAGTTTGTACTACATACTAGAAAGTAAAAAACCTGATTAGGCAATGCAGCTAATAATGACAGAAAAACATTAATACAGATCTAAACCTTTATCATACAAACGTTTCAAGCAGGATCACTGCAAGTCAGAAAAAAAATCAATCAAAGTTAGACAACAAATAATTATTCATGGAAGATCAAATAGCTTGAGTTACTTATCGAGAATGCATGTTCCTTTTGATCATAAAAGCGCTCCTTTGCTGATAGCAAGTACAACCCAAGGAGGGAATTTGGCAAGGTCAAGGAATATTCCCATGTGAAAAGGCAGAAGAAAGAACATACACAACAGTTGGACTTCCGTGTTCGAGAACATTTAGCTCACCCTTTCTTTCAACATGGTTTCTTGCTCTCTGGATATTAGGCGGCTGAGCAAGAGATGCGACAACTGGCACCGGGACCATGCTGACGAGAACACACGGTCAGAAAGGGGAGGTGTCAACTGCAACAGGAGTTGAGTGCCTGACACACTGTGCTTTTCAAGGCTGACATGCAGAGCGAAACGATTGAAAATTACTTTGTAGGAGCATTCGCAGCTAGGTAACAAATAAAACTTGTATCTTGTGCATGCTAGGAGTGAAAGTTCCTTAAGAAAAGGAACCAAAGCCAAACTCAAAAGGAAAGGAAAAGAAAGGAAAAGTTACAGTGACCATTCCTGGGAACTTACTCAGAGTCTTTGTTCCATAACCGTCGTCACCTAATCCGGGGATGTCCTGCATGGAAGTCCCCAGAGAGAGCAGTGAGAGGAAGAACAGCCACGGAAGAGGAAGGCAGAAGTCAGTGGAGTGGAAATGGGTACTACCATGACAGACTGTGCTGCCCGAGCAATCTGGATCCCCTCACACTCCTTTTGAAATACCTGTTATTCCAAATTCCCCGGGCTGAGATTTAAGAAGGTGATTTATTTTCCGAATTGTGAAGAGTCAGCAAATGTAGTTTTTGCCCAATAATCCACTCCAAGTTTCATGATCCATTTGAAGCGAGGGATCCACCAATACAAGTTTACTGCTCAGCAGCAAGTTAAGTATGGACTGGTGGATGGGAGGGGAAAGGTCTGCTGATGGTGCACATAACGTAACCCCTCCCGATTAGACAGACACCTATGTGGCAATAGAATCCAGGATTTCTGCCCAGAATAGAATTGGTCTTCAGCCCTAGGAAAGGCACAGCAAGCCCCAGTCGTGGTCACAGACCCATGCTGACTGGCAGGGAAGGCCCAGTTCCTGTCAGTCCCCCCACGGCATTCTGCAAAGAAAAGAGTCCAGGGAAGGATCCAGACTGCAGTCAACACTGGTCACCGTAGTAAGACCTGACCTGCCTGCCTGCCGGTGTGTGTTTGCCTAGGCGTGTGGCGTGGGCGGGTCTCTAGCATGTTTTGCCCGTGAAGAGTTGTTTTTCGCCTCTTGTGTGGCATGTGACATTATCTTCGAGAATCTACTTACGTTCGGGATCACTGGTTTCCTGCTCACTCTGCTCCTTGTTCTTGTAGAATGGGAATTTTCGTGAAAAGATGAAGCTCTTTTTACGCTTGTCATTGAATGACTGTGAAGGAGAAAAGGCATGGGGCAAAAACAGGGGACGTCTAATTGTTGTCACACTCATGCTGACAAAACTAGCTTGTAAAAGCAGAGAGAGCTGGAGTGACGCAAGGGGATGCCCTACAGAGGGGCCAGAGGGCATTTCTCCAGGAGTGCAGATCCTGCTCGATAAATTGTCTTTCTAAATACTTTGATCTGGTTGCAGATACATTATGATGGAGGAAACTGGCCTTAGATCGGAGGGCGAAGACCCAGAGCCTCTCTCCTGGCTCTGCAGCTTGCTAGTCATGACCTTAGCCTGGGGAAATCAATCTCGCTGACCCTCAGAATTTTCTCCTACCAAATGAGGACAATAATGATAGGAGCTCTTCTATCAGACAATAGAAACATAACATGCTCAACAATGATCATCTTTATTATCATTAGGTAGGAAAGACGTTATTAGGGAAACTGAATTTCTTTGCAGCATGGAGATGTCCTTTTAAAGTCCATATATTCTGAGTTCTGCTAAATGTAACTAAAACGTCACACAGGCTTATGATGCAAGGTGATCAATAGTACCATAACATTTTAATTCAAAGTGATTTTCAAGGCAGTTTGACTCCAAGTCCTCACTTTGCAGACACGAGGAGGCACGGAGAGGCTGAGCCCTTGGCTAATGGCACAGAGCTTGTGGTGATTGCCAAAAAGTTGAGAGTCCTCTAAAGGAACACAAACTTTATATTCACTCAGCATTGATCAGCCTTCTTTGTATTTGGACAAGATAAAAATGATGTTAAGTACTGTCCTTAATACCTAAACAACTTGATGTGAATTATGTACACTTAAAAATTTTTAACCCCTCTCTTCCACGGGACTCTCATGCGCTTACTCAGAAGGTGCCCTCAGAAAACATTATGTGCTTCCCTGCTGTTCCTCTGCTCCGTGGGGCTCTTTGAGACCTGTGTTCAGAGGCACATGACAAGCCAGAGGGCATGCAAGTCTCATTAATCTCTTATTCACATATCATTTTTTAAATGTTTTGCCAGTTTCATTACAAGACTTACTTGACTGATTGGGCCCTGAAGGTTTCTTAGCCACTTAACAAAATTAAAATTGCTATCAAACACAACTTGTTATCACATGGGTATTAAAATAAATGTGCCAGGATGCTGAAGGGAGATTGGCAGGTTATTCTAAAGCAGCTGTAGTAGTGTCAGCTGGTGGAATAAATGTTGAGCCAACAGAGGGATTACTTGCAAGAAAAGAGTAACTGCTTGGATCTAGGTATCTGGGCCACTGGTTGAAACCCATGCCTTTATGTAAGGATTCGAAGCTTACTAACACGGTATTAATGACTGGATTACATATCCATTTTGGTACGGCACGAAAACATGGTCACTCAGAATCCCTTGCTTTTGTAGATAGTAGGAACTTTTCCCTGTCATTGGGTACAAAAGGTGTATCATGTGAAGAAGTATTAAAGATTAGACTACCCAAAGACAAGGCTGGACATCCCTTTCAAATGTTCTCAGTTAAAAAACGATAGGCTCGTAAGGGATATTAATGATGGTTGCATCACTCCAGTTTCATGCCACTTTTACATTTCAAGCATATTTACACTTTATTAACTGAAAATAAAATAAAAAAATACCATGTAAGAATTAATGACACGTGATATTGTAAGAGATGTTACACATTCAACTTCAACAGTATGGATGACTTGTCATGCAAAAAATAACCAAAAAAAATTTTCATGCAAATATGAAACAGTGCCAAGAGAAGTAAAGCCTGAAGTTACGATGTAGACACAGATGGACAATGTGGTAGAGGACTTCGGGAGCCTGACATGAGGCTGCATGCAAGCCACGTCACTGAAACCGCCTCACGGGGTTCAAAGGAAAAATGAAAATGTGTTGTCTGTGATTAACTCTTATCTTTCCAGTGCAAGGAATGTCATGTGTTAACATTTCCCCAGTATGAAAATGTTGTGTATCATAAACCATCTGATTGGGACATAGTACTGCTAAAGACCACACTTCTTAAAAGAACCAAAAATACATAAGCCTTCAAAGCCCAAATGATCTAACATTGAATCCTACTACCCAAAGTTGCTTGTATTGGAATTGGATGTTAAGCTTTTAGATCTGCAGACCCCAAACCGAATGACCACTTTAGTTAAAAGTCACACTTTTCATGGGTCTTAAATCAAACATTCTGGCTCTTAGAGGCTGTATATCTGGTTCAGAATGCTGTAACACACACATATATATTTTTAATAGACATGTAGAATACCATTATATAAGTTTCTTTGCTGCTGTAATTTTTAAATTTTAATTTAGAAAAGCAAAATCTGTTACATGAGTGTTAGGTGAGAATAATAAATTAGCACTTTACTATTTATAGAACACAGGCATCTACAGTAACCGAAGGCGGGCTTACAGCTCTATTCTTACTCACACTCGATCAATCCTATTCTTTCTCTTTTTACAGTGTCTTAAGTCAATTGTTTTCCTGACAGGAATCCTTAAAGAACTGGAGCGTCTTTTAATGGAGACTGGAAATATCAATCACATGAGGGAAAGGGGCAGGTTGGCACGCCTAAGAATTCCATTTTGGAATCTGACTTTGGTCTTTTGAGTTTTGACGAACAAAAGCTGTGAAACTACTGGTTGAGCACCATGTGCCAGGCGTGGTTGGTTCTGAAAGCGTTGGCGTTATTTCTGTGAGGTCGATGAGCACGTTGAAGTTTTGAAAGCCTCTGTTGCAGCATACCCAGGGTCACACAGTTGGTCATCAACGGAGCCAGGATTTCAATTTTCAAATGTTTTTACAAATATTACGAGTCTAATGAACGTGAAGTTCCTGAAACCTAAGCCTGACTTAAACATGCTACTTGCCATTACTCTCTCCTAAATGATCTACACGCCATCGAGGACCCAGTAACTTTGTGCTTGGCAATTATTTACGTCATCATATGCTATCAGGTTCAATAACATCGTGGCTGATTATCCTATTAATATATTTTTAAAATGTCTGTTCATATTTTTCATAGCTCTATTCTATTTTCCTCCTCTTGCTTATGATGATGTTGTAAAGAAACACAACACCAGTGCGACAGTCTATAGATGACAGTGAAAAGCCAAATTTCCAGACTAGGCAAGTTTAGAGAGACATAAAGGTAGGTAACTTAGTGGCTACTTAGGGGCAGGGTGTTGAGGGGAAAGGGGATGGCAGCTACTGAATACAAAGTTTCCTTGAGGAGCGAGAGAAATGTTCTAAAACTTAATTATGGTAAAGGTTGTGTAAGTCTGTGAATATGATACAAAAGTGATGTATTTTATGTGAGTATATCACATATACTTATATAGATTTAGATAAATCCTAATAGGAACTGCTTTCTAGTCTGTCAACAATCACACCATGTTCATGCCAAATAAAATTGAAAATGTGTAAAAAATCTTTAATTGTGAAGAAACCATTCTTACTAACTCTTGCAATTATTCAGATCTATGAAAGGATTTTGCAGAAGTTAGTGGGGAAAAAAATGGAATTAAAAAGTAATTGGATTTTTCTACAAATTTTAAAAAGATTTCCAGCCTTCATACATGCCTTCCAGTTTTCTATTTCTCTGTTAAATGAATACCGTTCATGTTGTGACAGACATTGGAACATGTAAACCAGGAATCGTACTCCCTGCCACACAAACATTTACAACTTGTTAAGCAAATGGCATGGGATTGTCCAGCCTGATCTCAAGATGGAGAAGTACCAATAGTGAACTGGCTTAAGACAAAATAGACATTTTGTGAAGCAAGCAAGCAAAACCTCATAGCACCATCTCTCCAACAGAAAGGTCAAAGTCGTCTTTCACACATAGGAGTAACTCTTGGCATCAGATTGTTCTCCGTTTTGCCCAGAAAACTTTAAAACCAGGGACCTGTTTTAGTATTTCCTATCTTCTTGTTTCTGATGTTTCAACCTTCAACGCTGTCATATTTCTAAAATGTCACCTTGCTGATACAAATCTATGCAGAATTTAGATTCAGATTTATTCTGAGCTCAACTATGCCTTGTGTGTGTGTGGATTCTGTATCTTTTTAGAGGATTCTTTCCTCTTATCTGCCTCTTCCAATAATTATGTTCCCCTGGGAAAATTATTACCAACCCCCCATTTGTATTATACATATTGTATTTTTATACAGGAAAGAAAAGTATTTGAAAATGAGGTTCAAAAACAAGTATTGTTTCAAAAGAGAAGGTAGTAAGAGAAAGGCAGCAGTTGGCATAAGATAGATTTGTTGCCAGAGATGTGTGTATATGATTGTGTATACACACATGTGCAGATGTATGTTTAGACTTCTGTTGACCCCGTGTGACAGAGTAGAACTGCCCCTGTAATTGTTATAGGAGCAGACTGTCAGGTCATTCCCTGCAGAACAGTTGTGAGTTCAAAACTTCCAACCTTCATGTAAGCAGCCTATTGCTTTCAGCTTGTGCCACCCGGGTTCTTGATGTGTCTTTAACATTGCCCGGAATTATTTTTGCAATCCTAATGAATCATTTGATCTGAGCATCAACAGCTCTTACCATCACACAAAAGAGGTAACTTTTATTATCTTTGTTATCCTGATGAAGAAGAACAAACCATTACTTACAACTTATCCCTCACATGCCGACCCCCAAACAATGAAGGTGAGTCTAATCAAGTCTCAAGACCAAGTATTAGTTCAGAGTAACTACAGAGACCATGAATAATTATACCACAGGGAGCCAATCAGCAAAATTGGGTGTGGAAACCTCTGCAGAGGATATATGACTATCTTCTTACTGTTGGTATTTCTGAAGAAACGTAAAGATAGAGGTAGATCCTTTAGTTTAGAAATAGATACTCATCAAGCAAGTATCCTGAGAAGACTTCATTTGGCTCTCCAGTAAACAAGTTGTGAAACAAACGGCAGTGCCCATCTCAGTCCGAATAACATCCAGTGTCTGTAATAATGCCGGCAAGGTTCTACCTGCTCT